AAACAACAAACAACAACCCTCTCACTTTCTCTCTCTCTCTAATCCTGTCTCTCTCTCTAATCCTGTCTCTTTCTCTAATCCTGTCTCTTTCTCTTTCTCTCTCTCTCTCTCTTTCTCTCTCTCTTTCTCTCTCTCTCTCTTTCTCTCTCTCTCTCTTTCTCTCTCTCTCTCTTTTTGTCTCTCTCTCTCTCTCTCTCTCTCTCTCTCTCTCTCTCTCTCTCTCTCTCTCTCTCTCTCTCTCTCTCTCTCTCTCTCTCTCTCTCTCTCTCTCTCTCTCTCTCTCTCTCTCTCTCTCTCTCTCTCTCTCTCTCTCTCTCTCTCTCTCTCTCTCTCTCTCTCTCTCTCTCTCTCTCTCTCTCTCTCTCTCTCTCTCTTCAGACATACACTACCTCTTACCTGCCCCATCACTCCATCACACGTATCTTCTATATCACATGTGTTGCTGGTGGATGCTGCACGGCATACTGTATCCTTGGTCATCGGCTGTACGAACACCAACAAAGCTCACACCATGTTAGGAGCTTATGGTTGATAAATATGGTGGTAAAGACACACCTGGCAATATGGCGGTAAACACACGCCTGCCCACACACGCTCTCTAGGCTGCAAAGTTCTGGCACAGAGCTCTCCTTCTCACCACCACCACCATCAGTTCGCGCCTGGCGCCTGGTCGATGCATGGTTGGAGGTATCCGGCACAGCAGGCTGGTACATCAAGTAGTGCATGGCACATAGCAGATGACACAGCAACGACATAGCTGTCCATAATTATCGATCTTTCACACGAAAAAAAAAAAGTTTTCGTTTATGGGTGGATGGGTCAAGGAGAGTTTCATTTTGAAAAATATTGATATGTGAGACATCAATGCATTCTAGCAGTCAAGTCAATGTATTTTTCGTTCGGGGGGTGGGGGGAGGGGGGGTGGTTGGGTGAGAGAGGGTCCTAACTAAACTTTTTCGTTTCGTGAAAACTGTCGATATTGCCGAATGGCCCCAAGATCTTTTAAAAAATTCGCTACCCAATGCTCGGTATTGTAGCATGCACTGCTCTGTGTTGTCTGAACACAATCATCCATTGTAGCATGCACTGCTCTGTGTTGTCTGAACACAATCATCCATTGTAGCATGCACTGCTCTGTGTTGTCTGAACACAATCATCCATTGTAGCATGCACTGCTCTGTGTTGTCTGAACACAATCATCCATTGTAGCATGCACTGGTCTGTGTTGTCTGAACACAATCATCCATTGTAGCATGCACTGCTCTGTGTTGTCTGAACACAATCATCCATTGTAGCATGCACTGCTCTGTGTTGTCTGAACACAATCATCCATTGTGAAAAACAACATGTAACAGATACCCAGGTGCTACGTGGAGTTTGTCAGCCCGAATCCGAAAAATCGGAAATAAAAGTCTTTATGGTCACATGATCGATGAAAAGTTGTTTCTGTTCTCTTCTGCCTTTGCAATTTAAATGGGTGCGTATAGGTGTATACTTGTGCGGGTCTGTGTGAGTGCAGGCACATGAGAGCTCGAACCCGCACAAGCAGTGCACAACACGTAAGAGATAGCATGCAGTAATGTGTATGATGGTCGGGAGGAGGGGTATTGTGGCAAAGTTCTTGACTTACCATACAGCTTGCAAGGTTGCAGCATGCACCATGGGCACACTGAGCTGTACTGGTTAGCTTGCAGGTCATCTGATCGCAGCACGGGTTGTTGCACTCATCCACCTGAATATGGGATTAGAGAGAGAGAGAGCATCGTTCGTCAAAGAAACGCATACAGGCAGCAGAAATGAAAACACATACATATGCACAACAACACACACACATACAGTCAAACATGTCAAGGCGACCACCTGTCTCAGACGACCACCTGTCTCAGACGACCACTGCAGCCAGGACCAAGGGATGCTATTTGCAGTCAAATGACCCTGGATAAGGAGACCACCTGGTTACGGTGACCACACTTTGAAAGTCCCTTGAGCGGTCGTTTTAGACAGGTTTCACTGTACATAACAGCTACACCAGAGGCGTGACAGAGCAGCGCAGAGTGGTACGTCTGAGGGTGCTCTGGGTGGACCATACTGGACGAAAAGTGGTACGACCATGGCTGCACTGGTTTTAGCGTGTGTGATGGCCCTGCACACTCACTAACATGCTGATTGGTTGACAGCAGGTTACAAGGCGGAGGACGAACTCTGTTGAAAACAGTGCTCCCGTCAACCGGTCAACATGACATTGTTAATCTATGAAACAAGGCTAACAACACTGACACCCACTGATATGCATCCACAGATGCAAACACCACATTTCATGAACGACTGCGCATCACAAGAGACAGAGCAATACTTCAACAGAGCCAACAGTCCTCTCAGATTTTAGACAGTTATGATTATGAGAACGTGAAGACTATGTTCATAGGGATATTCAAATGGCACTGCAGAAGTACAGTAATTATTATTATTATTATTAGACACAATCTCATAGCATGTGACAAGCATAGCTAATGCAGGGACAGAATCCCCTGAGACAAGGGCGTTGAGCCAGCAATAGTAAGCTAGGAAAACAAAGCAAATATGAATTAGAGCAGAACATGAATGGAAAATTACAAAGAAAAACGATTAACGGAAGTGAGCACTATCAATATTCGTGCATCACCCAGGTTTTCGAGAATGTTCTTCGATGATAATTATTGCGTCTAGTTCAGTTGTGATAGTAGATCTTTAAACTGACCAATAGAAGAACAAGTTTTCAGACCGTATGGTAATGATAACCAATGAGAGTAGCCGGAAAACAAAGGGGACTTTAGATACTGGGCTGACTTAACAAGAGGCAGGATGAGCGCGTTACGGGTTGAGCTTGTCGAAAACCAATTGTACTTCATCATGTGTGAAGGGGTTTTATGAAGAAATATTTTATGAACCAGTGTACAGAGATGGTGCTTATGACGAACGGAGAGAGGAGAAGTGTGTGCAAGTCGATAAAGGGCATCCGAAGGAAAACATCGATCCTTGTTGTAAAGAATTTTAAGTATAAATCTATGGTGGACTTCTAATTGGTTCAGAGTTGTGTCAGAAAGGCCACACCAAGCGGTATCGCAATAGTCGAATATAGGGAGAATATAGCACTGATAAAATAATAGTTTACACTGGATGGGCAAATGAGTGCAATGTGGTTGTAGTACCCCTAATGCTGAACTGGTTCGCTTGCATACACAGTTGACATGTGCAGTCCAAGAGAGTTCGCAGTCAAACATCACACGTAGATGTTTGTGCTGAGTAACAACACGGATAGGCATAGTCGAGTCAGGGAAGTATAATGGTTGATCAGGAGGGGATGAAGAAATATACATGGCTTCTGTCTTGTCTAAATTGGGCTGGAGTTTCCACGTTTGCATCCACATGACAGTGCTGTTGATGCGATGCTGCATGGTAAGGAGTAATTGTGCAGGGGATGAATCAGAACAGATAAGGCCAGTGTCATCCGCATACAAACTAACATCGGGGACAACTGAAGGTAGGTCATTAACGTAAAGCAAGAATAACAAAGGACCCAGAATGGAACCTTGGGGCACTCCAGACGTTACAGGGAGGGGATCAGACAAGAAATAAGACAAGCGAACAGCCTGAGAACGAGCAGACAGATACGAGGATATCCAACGCAAGGCAGCATCCTCCACCCGGAAGGTGACCTCCAACTTGGCAAGTAAGCCACGATGCCAAACGGTGTCGAATGCCTTAGCCAAGTCGAAAAACACCATTCCCACATGCTACCCACAGTTCCTCTTTGTCGCTATGTCTTGGACAAGTCGAGTCACCTGGTATTGAGTTGAGTCACCACGGCAGAATCCCGACTGAGCTGGTGAGAGAGCCGGAGCGATGTGCAGGTAGAGGGAATCGAATACAATACGCTCACAAAGTTTGGAAACTGTGCGCAGCAGAGAGATGGGGCGGTAGTTTGCCGGGCAAGCACGGGATCCTTTATACTTGTAAAGCGGTGTCACGATGGCGGATTTCCAATCCTGTGGGAATGTACCAGTTCGATATGACATATTAAAAATAATGGCGAGAGGATAGGCTATTGATGGTGCAAGAGACTGCAGCACTTCATTCGGGATCCCATCTGAGCCGGGAGACTTTCCACATTTCAGGCGCTTCAGATATTTCCGAACTTGAAACGTAGTGACAGTGATTGTACGGAACGGAACAGATATGAAAGGCGACTGGGACAAAGGGGGAATGCGCCACGAAGGATCATCAGGTAGCCCAAATGAGGTGAACTGAGTGTTCAGAACATCAGCTATGCTCTTGGGGGACGTGGCGACCGTACCGTCGGATGCTATCATCGTTTGGGGCATGACACGGCCGGAAGTGTGCCGCTGTGCTCGCACAAACTGAAAGAGTGTAGGTCGATTCGGTGACGTTAGTGATGCTTGGATGGAGCGTATATATTGACGATGTGCTTGCCGAGACAGGTGCTTTACAGCATTCCTTTGTCGGTTATAAGCTGCATGATTTACTGCTGTCGGATATTTTTTGTACACACTATATAGATCACGCTTGCGTTTTACAGCAGACCTGAGCTCAGCAGTAACCCATGGTGGAGATTGCATGCGGGGTCGTGGAGATGTCACAGTGTGGGTGGCTCCGAATGAGGTGAGGTGACGACGGAAGGCGGACTGGAGCTCACAATCAAAGTGATGAAGTGCGTCATTACCATCAGTGTACGAGTTCAGAGAGGACCAGTTGTAGCCAGCTAAATCAGCGTTGATTAATTGCCAAAGGTGCGAAGGTACTTGTTTGAAGCGATACAGTGAAGATGGAGGACCAGTGGAAGAGTTGGGGAAGTAGTTCGAAATAGGGGCGTAACATAAAGTGCAAACAATCTGTATATGGTCAGACATACCCAAGGGAGGTGCTTGATCAATTGAGCGCACGAGGCGTGGTCGGTTGGTGATCACCAAGTCCAGACACGAAACAGAGCCATTAGGCGAGGAATGAGTGGGGAAGTCAACCATCTGGTGGAGCCCAAGAGCAGCAAATACTGTGCTAAGGAGATCACCAGCCTTCGAGGTAGAATCGGTGGGACACCAGCTTGAATTGTGGGCGTTGAAATCGCCAGTCACTAACAGATCATAAGAATCTAAACAGACTGACTGTAATGCCTCAACAAACATGTCACAAAAGTACGACAATTGCATTGTGCTCTGTGAGGGTGGTCGATACATGCAGCATAGTAAGATGGGATTCTGAGATTGAGTAGAGGGGGAGCCAAGTTCAAGCCACACAGACTCGCAGCCAGGGCGTTGAAGGTCGGCACGAGGGGAGACGTACGGAAAGGAGTCCGAACGGACAAGTACGGCAACATCCCCATACCCACGGCTACAATGTGCTGACCGATTGTCTTCCGGAGGTCGATCTCTGCGGATGCAGATATAGCCTGACAGTGAGAGCGGGTTCGAGGGACAGAGCCACGTCTCTGTTAGGCAGATTATGTCAGGCTTAGCATATTCGGCAATAACGCAGAGCTCAGACAACTTGTTGACAACAGAGCGACAATTCAGAGATACTAGGGTTAAATCACGCTGGGATTGAGGGAAAAAAAAGGGAACGCTGATGGATTTAGCGCTGGACATGCAATGTGTGCGGGTCGGCCAGAGGAGGGCTGAGCGGGGTAGAGCGGGTGGGCTAGTTTCGATCGTGGGGTGAATACAGGGGCGTTGGGATTTAGTCGTTGTTGCTGCATCGTTGTGTATGTTGGTTTGTTAGCAAGACAGTTCAGGATTGATCATCACTGCCTCGCCGCGAAGTAGAAGACGACTTGTTACCTTGGGCATCAGCAAAGCGCCACTTTCGCACTGTGTGCTGGATGGTGGCCGGCCAGAATTTGGAGTCGAGAACTTTGTCCTCGTCCGATGCTGCCACGGTTACGCGAGCATGGCAAGTACCCAGGTACGTGTTTTCTGAAATTGAACAGTTCAGTACGTCAACTTGGCGGGCCTTGCACCACGCTGTTATTGACGAGTAAAACCTGTGACTAACGACCACCCCTTGGGGCCAGAGAAAGCGGTCTTTCGTGGCAGGTGGTCCTTACTTAGAGGTTTGCACCGCACAATCATATTTAAATGTGAGACCGTCCGTGCCTGGCGAAGTGGTCGGTAGTACCAGGCTGGTCGCTAGACACGGTGGTCTTTAGTTACAGGTTTTACTGTAGTACCAGGCTGGTCGCTAGTCACGGTGGCCTTTAGTTACAGGTTTTACTGTAGTACCAGGCTGGTCGCTAGACACGATGGTCCTTAGTTACAGGTTTTACTGTAGTACCAGGCTGGTCGCTAGACACGGTGGTCCTCAGTTACAGGTTTTACTGTAGTATCAGGCTGGTCGCTAGTCACGGTGGTCTTTAGTTACAGGTTTTACTGTAGTACCAGGCTGGTCGCTAGTCACGGTGGTCTTTAGCTACAGGTTTTACTGTAGTACCAGGCTGGTCGCTAGTCACGGTGGTCTTTAGTTACAGGTTTTACTGTAGTACCGGGCTGGTCGCTAGTCACGGTGGTCTTTAGTTACAGGTTTTACTGTAGTACCAGGCTGGTTGCTAGTCACGGTGGTCTTTAGTTACAGGTTTTACTGTAGTACCGGGCTGGTCGCTAGTCACGGTGGTCTTTAGTTACAGGTTTTACTGTAGTACCAGGCTGGTTGCTAGTCACGGTGGTCCTCAGTTACAGGTTTTACTGTAGTACCGGGCTGGTCGCTAGTCACGGTGGTCTTTAGTTACAGGTTTTACTGTAGTACCAGGCTGGTTGCTAGTCACGGTGGTCTTTAGTTACAGGTTTTACTGTAGTACCGGGCTGGTCGCTAGTCACGGTGGTCTTTAGTTACAGGCTTAATTGTATATGCACACTATCATTACATCTCTACTAATACTGTGTTCATATTTAAGGGCTGTTTGACCAGGTCTATGTCCGTCACTCAGGGTGTGCTTGACTTAGGGTCCATCGGATTCTGCTGGCAGAAAAATTGGCAGAATTCGGTACTTTTTCTGGTAAGTTTCATGCATGTTTGGTATGTGGATAAAGAAATGGAGCAGAATTCGAGGAATTGCCCGCCATAAGGTTTGTATGGTTCTGCCAATTTTACTGCTTTTCGAGCAGAATCTGCCACCTTTTCGAGCAGAATCCGCCGGTCCCTAGCTTGACTCAGTCGTAACTAACATCTCGTGAACAATGGTGAACTCTCGTATTGTTGACAATGTTTGGATAGCAGCGCAGCGCAGCCAATAGCTTACCGCAGGATCACCGCAATCACAGTCCTCGCCGTCCTCGACAAACCCATTGCCACACTCTGCCTGAAACTGCACAGCACATACATGTAACGGCAAGCATTGTATTTCTGTGTATTACTGGAAAAATAATAAGAAATGTTTCGTGGTGTTTTATTTTCGGTAACTCCGGTGCCCACAGTTTTTACCTAAAATAAAAAACCGAACATTTCGGTACTAAA